AGGCTTGTTTTTTTGCTTAGAAGGGCTGGCTCTGAAATATCCTGACTGCAAGGATGACGGAGGCGGATTTAAACGACTTGAAGCGAAGACTCACCTTCAGGCAGTGTTTTCGGAGGATCAAGTCCCAGACCTGAGGCTCAGTGCTGCGAGGGAGTTTTAGATCAATCCACGGCAGTGAGGCACTTCGCCCCTGTCTTGCGGTGCTGCGCAATTAGGTTTCCTCGCACTGAGGCGTTTCGCCCGTGCTGGGAAAGATAGGCAATGTCTTCGGAGGATCAAGTCTCAGACCTGAGGCTCAGCAATCAGAAACACCCGGTAACTATTTGGGGAAAACCTTAGCGACAATGGTAGTTTTAACCAACAAAATATGGTATAAACTAACTGGCTGCAGGTAGTTTTGGACATGTTTTCTTGCAACTTTGATGAACATACTTAAATATACTATAACATACTGACCACCTAAGTTATTTTTACAAAATATCTAAGCTTGGCAATGATCATATGATACATGGAGGAGAATCACAACCACCTAGCAATTTGTGGGTGATGCGAGAGGATCCCACTATGGTACTTAGATAAATGTGATATAGCAATGATTCTACTTACCCCACTAGCCCGATACATGGGACCATGTAGCTGAATTATCCACAAGTGCTTGGTTACAGTAGTGGGGCTGGTTTATGGTACTTTGGATACACATTAAATGGTTGATCCATATTCAAGTAATTTGGGTTGTAGATCCGTCAGGTTTAGATCCGATACCAGTTCATGTCTGATTGTGGTATCACCAAGAGGCATCAATCAAACAAAAGAAACTGCGGGCATGAACGTTTTTTTTCTATCAAAGCAATGATGTTTCATTTCCGGATAAGCCGTTAATCAAAACTGTGGCGATCCTTGTCAGTTGAAATTGACGATTGAAGGTTCTGAACGTAGCAGCAGGCATAACCTCGGCTCAATTGACACTGACCTTAAGCCCATGCAACAATAGACACCGGCAACAGCAATGCCAAGTAATGACAACTTGCGCACCTGTATATGCAAGCACATCACCCCTATAGACACCTGTTGGCCCATTTAGACATTTTGAACATGTTGAGACATTTTGAGACTTTTTGAGCAACTTTAGGCAATTTTGAACAGTTTTGTTTGGCCCAGATTGGGTCATTTCGAGCAATTTTGAGCATTTTTGTCGGGCAAGGCTGGTGATGCCGAGCAATTCTGAACAATTTTTGGAAACACAATATGGCATTGTCAACCTTGGAGAGTGCTCAAAATGTCTCAATTGAGGCTGCTTTGAGACTTTGGCTGAAAAAGGTAGCTGATGTAAACCCCATGGATCTAGACCCTAAAACGAGATCAGTAGAAACATGTCAGAAAAATGAATGGTCCGTGTGTTAATCTGTATATAACTGTATATGACTATAGTCCCTGTGGCCTGTGCAACAACAAAAACCAGGACATCACGAAGATTCTGAAGGATTTTTCCCTACAGGTGTTTACATTTTTCTTACGTGTAAGTTTAGCACCTACATGCGAAGCAAGGTTTTGACATGTTTTGACATAAATGGTGGTTTCCTAAAATAGAGGTATCCCCAAATCATCCGTTTGAAAAGGATGTTATAATGTTTAATTATCCATCTTGGGTACCCCCCCAATTATAGAAACCCCCATATGGGGATGTCGCCAATATTCATTATGTACCAGGGTATCGGTCTTTATCCCTATTATTATCATGATGGATATACCATGATATACCCAGTCAGTAATCTATGTCCAATAATATATTTCCATTTGAACATGATCGAGAAGAAACAACTCCGGTTCAGCCACCGTCACCTACAGGCTGTCCCCTTTACCAGCGGCAGAAGCGCTTTCTTCGCTGTGCCTTCGGCACAAACGGAAAACATTGGAAGGGCTGTCTGTAATGTTAGGTGAAAACGAACAAACCTCTAAATCCACTGGTTGATCATAATATGTTCACTATTCACATTCATAAGTTTCCTGCAATGGCACCGAAGTGCATATTGCAGTGGAAAGGGCTGCTGAGTGGGTGCTATTTACCACCCAGAAGCATCCATAATGTAGAGAATCACCGCGAGCTGCAGAGCCTCGTGTTGGAGTTTGCGGACTGGAGGCATTTCAGTGATGAGCGGGCAATGACTCTGGGCGCTTCAAATTTCTCATGGGACCAAGTCAGACTCCCTAGGTGCAGCTGACGCGTCAACTTGGGCTTCCCATGCCATATTCAGCGAGTTGGACTGAATGAAGCCGAGGCAGATCTTCTGGATGGCTAGCTGGATTTATTACATGTTACATCCTACTTTAGTCGAACTACTAGGTGGAAACACCTAAATTTATCATCTCGCACATTGGAGATCACAGGCTGATTTTCGATTCAAATAGCCATAGTGTGTTTTATGTTTCCGAGCATATAGATAGGTAGATCTTCCTAAATCATATAATGCCAACTCTTGTTCTTGGAATACCAGTCTGTGTTTCCTGGTTACAATGAGCCCCTCTTGGCAGAGTCAAGCCCGGATTTATATTTCTGGTTTTTGAATTGGGTTATTAGCATAGGGATCTTAACCCCCAACAATCACGTTTATAAGGGCACATCTTCACCATCCATTACTCTGTTCGGTGGGGACCAAGGAGGAAGGGGCACCGAGCAAAAAAGACCCGTGCTCACAGGCCGTGAGGGGATGTACCCACGCAGCGCATGCCATGAGGGCCATCAGAGAGGCTGCGGAGACCAACAACCAGGCGGAGACGGCCAAGAGATTCTGCGCTAGAGGCAGCAGCAACGGCCGTAGCAGCTGTGGAAACCGCAGGCACCACAAGTGCTGCTTCAAGCAGCACAGCGGCAGGTCAAAGCTCCGCGACCACAATGGCAGCCAGGTGGAGAACAATGTATGAGGAGTTCCTCAAGGCCAAAGGAAAACGCCTAAAAGGAGCTGAGCGGCAGCCAGAGCTGCATTATTGATGACTGAGGACGCGCCCCATTCAAACCCACTAGCTTTGGCATAATATTATTCAGCTCAGGGGGTTAACTAGTCTATCCTTCCGGGAATGCTTCTGTGGAAATCCAAAAACTTGAGTTTCTGAAAATGCCAATGGTATTGACCAATGATTTCTCAATGCTTCTTACTGGTCTCATCTCCATTGCTGATTCTTTTAGACTAGACCCACTTTGGGCTGCTTGTCTACTCAACACCAGTCCTGCTGCTGGTTTGAAGTGGGTTGAAGTATATATTACTATTTTAATCATCATCGCCATCGTCATCGCCATCGTCAACGTCATCCTCATCATCATCGTCAGCATCAACATCACCACCACCACCACCACCATCATCATCATCATCATCATCATCATCACAATCACCATCATAATTTCAGCCCCGCCATTGTCATCATCATTGTCATCAGCATCATGTTGTGTATGTATATATATATATATACATACATACATACGTTTATATATACATATAAATATGTATATACATATACACATTATATTTATATATATGCATATAAGTATGTATTTTGCTTTATTATATATATATATATTTATTATTTATTATATATAAATATAGATATTTATCTATTTTTGTACATATACATATTACGGTATACATATACATATTACATATACGTGTGTTGTTTTGAATATAGTTTTGACTTTTGAAATTATGATCATGACTGCTATTTTCTGCTTTCAATCAAATCAGTTGGGAGACTCAGCCCAGCAAGTGACACCCTGGGTCCGCCCCGAGGACTTTAGCCAAATCTTTGTGCCTTACTGCAGCGGCGATCTTTGGCTAGGTGCGATCCGTGGGTGGTGCCTCATGGAATTGTAGAAACCATAGAAAAATGAAGAATGAAGCAACAACAATTGGGATTTAATGGGTTGCTGATTTCCTGCTTCTCTCCTATTTTCCATGTTCATAAGCCCTTGTAAATATAGATGATTTTCCCAATGTCGGGTAGTTAAATCACAATTGTACTGCTTAATCCCACTTTCAAGGCCTTTTACAGTTATAAGTTAGGTTATAAGTCGGTTATAACTATTTATAAGTGCATAGTGAGTTATAACTGTAGTTAGTTTACTTAACGTAGTTATACCACTGTTCTGTAACTGCTTTCATTGAACGTATAAGTCCGGTTAAAGCAGTTATAGCAGTTACAAAAACAGTAAATACCAGGTTTGATAATGAGGGAAAAGCAGTTATAACAGTTACAAGCAGACATTTTTCATAGGTGAAATGCTTTGGTTTGTTTCGTGTGCATGTGTTTTCTTACGCGTTTTTTTTTCTGCTCTTCATTGATTTTGATTTGTTGCTGGTTGTGCGCACTTGGTTTGGGTCATGGATTGTTGGGCACGTTGTTGCATGGATTGTGATGTGTTGCTTGATGTGCGTCCTGGATTGTGATTTGTTGCTTGGTGTATGCCATGGACGGTCTATCATGGTTTCTTGGCTGCCGTGTTGTTGCATGCAGCATGCATTGTGATTTGTTGCTTGATGTGCGTCATGGATTGTGATTTGTTGCTTGGTGTATGTCATGGACTGTCTATCATGGTTTCTTGGCTGCCATGTTGTTGCATGGATTGTGATTTGTTGCTTGATGTATGTCATGGATTGTGTATCATGGTTTCTTGGTCGCCGTGCTGTTGCATGGATTGTGATTTGTTGCTTGGTGTACGTTATGGATTGTTTATCATGTTCTCTTGCTGTGTTGCTGCATGGATTGTGATGTTGTTTGATGGATTTATGTCATGGATTGTTCATCATGGTTTCCCTGAGTCGCACGGATTTTGAAGTGATGTCATGGATTGTGCCTCTTTCTATTTTTTTTTTGCATGGATTTTGTGGTGTCAGCCGTTTGCCACAAAGCTCGTGCTGCTGCCGCCACCTGCATAGGCGCACAGAATTTGAAACAATATGTTTCGGTGCCATGTTCTTTTCCACTATATAGCCTTTCATCTCCAAGTCTGAGCCATGGCCGCTTATAAGTCCATCTACGTTGCGGCCAACGGCAGTCCTGGAAGTAAGGAGGTGCTGCACTCTTTTCTGACCAACAATGGTTTCTCGATTGTGCTTAATTGTTTCTGATTTTTGGGGTGAAAATGTTCCAATATGTGCTTAAACTCTAAGCACAGAAAATTTATATTGAACTGTTTGGGTTGCACTTTCTAAGGATTCGATAACTTCCGCATCAAGGACCATGGTTTTGGAGATGGACGGTGCCTCTTCATTGACATCCTAGAAACTTCTTGGATGCGTTGCGGCAGGGCTCTTCTGGAAGGCAGATGGAACTTAGGAAATGATGGGGAAAGATTCGTGGCAGTGCTTTTGATCGAGCTTAATTTGGTTTCTTTTGTATTTGTGGTTGTTTTTTTTGAACGGCTACGTTTGTTTGTATTGCCGACTTCTATGGTGCTCCTATAGATTCGTAACTCGATTATAACCTTATAGTTATATCTAAGTTACTAAGTCATAACTTCTTAGCTAACGTTTTGTTCCCCACCTGCCAGGTGAGGGTTGTTAGATTTTATGTCAGTTGCCTGCTCCTCTCCTCTCCTCTCCTCTCCTCTCCTCTCCCCTCCTCTCCTCCTCCTCCTCCTCCTCAACCGCGATCCACGCTCAGTGTGCCCTGCCGGACCTCAACCACGACCATCCACGCTCAGTGTGCCCTGCCGGACCTCAACCACGACCATCCCCGCCCAGTGTTCCCTGCCGGACCTCAACCGCGAGTATCCCCGCCCAGTGTTCCCTGCCGGACCTCAACCACGACCATCCACGCCCAGTGTTCCCTGCCGGACCTCATGTAGGAAGATATGGGACAAAGAATGTGCAGAAGAAAGTTAGAAGATAGAATGCCAGAAGATTTGCCAGATAATATGCCAGAAGATATGCCAGATAGAATGCCAGAAGATTTGCCAGATAGAATGCCAGAAGATATGCCAGAACATATGCCAGAAGATATGCCAGATAGAATGCCAAAAGATATGTCAGATAGAATGCCAGAAGATTTGCCAGTAAGAAAATGTATAAATGTCATGGTGGGGATCACACGAAGTAAAGTAATTACTTTTTTTGCTGTAAGAAAGTGTCTTTAAAAGTGATCAAATTTTGATCTTTTTGATGATTTTGAGTGTTTGCTGTTTGAAGCGTTTTCAACTGCTCAAAAAAATGCCAAATGGAGCGGATTTCACACCGCTAAAAGCTGTTTTTGTTGGAACAGCCGTTTTCAGCATGTCAAACACTATAATTAATCACGTGTTAAAACCCAAACTGTGAATGAAGATGTGTTCATGTCCACTAGAGAGGATGTATTGCTTGAAGAAGTGTCCAGGTGTTCACTTTACCTTGGCTAAATGCTGCAGTGTCCCTTTGACAAAACTCAATTTTTGCAGGATATCCTAGATGTCTTCAACGTAATTACAATATACATCAACATACCCATACCTGCCAACAAATGCATGCCGTATTCAAAACAGAAATGCAGCATACCCTTCTTCATAAGTGCAATCTTCCTTTGGAGCAACGCAGTGTGTTTTTGCAGAACAATATCCCTATGAAATATCAAATGTTCCTTTAAAAGATACACCATGCCCTTGGAGGAGTACAGTGTGCATTTAGCAAAATTTTCTTTGAAAGGGGTCCTCAAGGTGAAAGGGGTCCTGGCCTAGAAGCCTCCAAGATTAATTTTGACCGAGTTTTTGCCTTTGTATGAAAAACTCGGTCGAAATTAATCTTGGGGGCTTCGCGCGCATAAGGAACATTCTTGGCCAGGACCTCTTTCACCTTGGGGGCCCCTTTCAAAGGAAATCTTGACATTTCCACATGTCTAACCGTCCTTTCAAAGGAGCAGTATCCCTTTTAAAAAAGCCAATATTGCTGCACAATATGCAGTATTTTTGACATAGAGCATCCCTTTCAAAAGTGCAATATGTTTTGAAATGTGAGATTCTTTCAGAATGTTTTTCGCCCCTTACAACAGAGCATTGTCCTTTATGGCAACACAATCTTCCTTTGAAAAAGCAGCATTCGTGGAAACCTGGATTACTTTTCATTGATATATGTATCTGCTCTACTCTAATCTAATCCAATTCAATCCAATCCAATCCAGATATATCTCATCACTATAATCCAAGCCAATCCAATCAAACCCAAACAAATCCAATCCAATCCAATCCAGTTCAATCCAATCCAATCATATCCAATCCAATCCAATCCAATCAATCCAATCTATCTAATCTAGCCAAGTCAAATCTAATCCAATCCAATGCTATCCAATTCAATCCAATCCAATCCAGTCAAATCCAATGTATCTAATCTAATCCAATCCGATCCAAGCCAATCCAATCTAATCTAATCTAATGTAATCTAATCTAATCTAAATCCAATCCAACCCAATCCAATCCAATCCAATCTAACCTAATCTAATCTTAATCCAATCCAATCCAGTCCAATCCAACCCAACCCACCCCAATCCAATCCAATGTATCTAATCTAATCCAATCTAAGTCCAATCCAAACCAATCCAATCCAATCTAACCTACTCTAATCTAACCATATCTAATGTAATTTCAATCCAATCCAATCCAATCCAACCCACTCTAATCTAATCTAATCTAATTCCAATCCAATCCAATCTTATTGAAGTGCTGTAAAGGCCTCTGTGGTATATGGGTGGGATATATTGAGATATACTAGGGGAAACTGGGGTTTACTTGAGGATACTACGGTATACTAGGGCATAATACCGTATACCATGGTATACTGACCGTATACCATGGTATACTGGTGGTATACTGGTGGTATACTGGTGGTATACTGGTGGTATACTGAGGTACACTGAGGGTATACTGGTGGTATACTGGTGGTATACTGGTGGTATACTAGTGGTATATTGGTGGTATACTGGTGGCAAACTGGTGGTATACTGGTACACTCCCTAATCCAATCTAATCTAATCTAATCTAATCTGATCCAATCCAATCCAATCCAACCCAATCCAATCCAATCCAATCCAACAACCCCATCCAATCCAATCCAATCCAACCTAATCTAATCTAGGCTAATCCAATCCAAACTAATCTAATCTAATCTAATTCCAATCCCATCCAATCCAATCCAATCCAACCTAATTCCAATCCAACAAAACCAAATCCAATCCAATCTAACCTAATCTAATCTAATCCAATCCAACCCAACCCAATCTAATCCAACCCACTCAAATCCAATCTATCTAATCTAATCTAATCCAATCCAATCCAGTCAAATCCAATCTATCTAATCTAATCTAATCCAATCCAGTCCAATCCAACCCAACCCAATCTAATCCAACCCACTCAAATCCAATCTATCTAATCTAATCTAATCCAATCCAATCCAGTCAAATCCAATCTATCTAATCTAATCTAATCCAATCCAGTCCAATCCAACCCAACCCAATCCAATCCAATCCAAGCCAAGCCAATCTATCTAATCTAATCTAATCCAATCTAATCTAATCCAATCTAATCTAATCCAATCCCTCAGTCCCTCACCCAAGCCTGTAAAGACCTCTGTGGTATATGGGGACGTCTCAAAATGAGGCGCACCCTTTTTGACCCCCAAAACGCTACTTAAAAAAAAAGGGCTCGCCTCATTTGAGACATTCCCATATGGGTGGGATATATTGGGATGTACTAGGGGAAACTGGGGTTTATAGTCAGCAATGTCAATATCAAAAAACGTACTCATTGGCTGCCTTTGTTTGTTCATAGTCTTCTGACATGCATGTTTTCAAAAATAAGTCAAATACAAAATTGCTTAATCCATGCCCCAAGCCCCTAACTTCCCCCAAGGATACCTGTTTTCCTTGGTTTTTACATGGTTTCTAATGGAACCAGAGACCTAAAGCAAGCAGAAACAACCACATACAAATTTGCAATGCCTAAGGGGGGAAAAGTGGCAAAGAGTTAGATCCTGCCACTTTTTTGCCAGTCCCCCAAAAGAAACAACGAACCAAGAAAGCTAAACACCAAGAAACCAAAAAAACAACAAAAAAAACAAGATTGCACACCCCAAGGGGAGTGGGTCAGATGCAGTTGTTGGTTCTTGTTTTTTTTCTTGTTTTTTTTTTGGTCTTTATAAAAAGAAAAGAAACTGCAAAGGTGAGATTGTAAAGAGCAAACTAACCCATTGCAGGTGCATAAAGCACCTAAAAAGGCGCGCTCGCACAGTGGCCTGTTCTGTTTAAAAACCAGTTGCACATTCCCTCAGCCATGGAAGCGGTGAAAACCGCGCATTTTTCAAAAAAACAACTTCGAAGCGGCTCAACCGCTATAATTAGAAAAAATATTGTTTTCGATTCAATAAAAACAAATGTTTTTTCAAATTTTCTAAATAATAAAAATGTGACAAAATAGTTGATATTTGCTTCACTTCATAACTTTTCATCACTTTTTGTATAACTAAAATTATAACTACTTATAACTCTATAGGAGCACCATAGTTGTTGGTGGTCTACCCGTTTATGTGGGATGTTTTTTTTTGCTTTGCTGTTTCTGTGGATTTGTTTTTTTTTCCGCATGGATTTATGTTTTGATTTTTGCTCAGGTACCGGTTCCAGTAGACGGCCAGACGCCTTTACAGCCTCCACCTCCGCCGCCGGGCCCACATTCTGCTGCTAAACCTGTGCTTTTGTATTTTTTTGCATTTGTTTTATGCTTTTTCCGCGTGCATAGTATGAATAAACTAAATTATGCAAATTTCATTCGTACACGGAGTTGCTGTACATGCTTCAATTTCTCACGTTGCTTAGATTCAGTTTCAATCATATCTGGACGTTTCACTGTCCTTGCATGGATTTTGCCATGGATAGATTGCGCATGTACTTCGCATGTATTATCGCTTGTTGTTGCATGGAATGTGCGTTGATGCTGCAGGTTTGCCGCATAAACTTTGCAAACACTGCGAATGCATCATTCGTGTATGTTGTTTGAAATGTGGTACGATTAGTATTGTGCATGGTTTTTGTGTTTACTTTTTGGTCTTTTCCCAACTTATGCATGGATTCTGTCATTGAGGCTGGATCAGCGGCAGTTGCTCCAGCTACAGCAAAAGCACCAGCAACGGTGGCAAAAGATACCCAATTTAATTGCAGTTTTTCCCGAGAGCGTCTGAGCGCAGGGTTCTTCCAATAGTGGGGGTCTGTATCTCATCTTCTCATCTTCACACCTTCTCATCTTCACATCTTCTCTCACACCTTCTCATCTTCACATCTTCTCTCACACCTTCTCATCTTCACATCTTCTCTCACACCTTCTCATCTTCACATCTTCTCTCCCCCCTTCTCATCTTCACATCTTCTCTCACACCTTCTCATCTTCACATCTTCTCTCACACCTTCTCATCTTCACATCTTCTCTCCCACCTTCTCATCTTCACATCTTCTCTCACACCTTCTCATCTTCACATCTTCTCTCACACCCTCTCATCTTCACATCTTCTCTCACACCTTCTCATCTTCACATCTTCTCTCATCACCTTCTCATCTTCACATCTTCTCTCACACCTTCTCATCTTCACATCTTCTCTCACACCTTCTCATCTTCACACCTTCTCTCACACCTTCTCATCTTCACATCTTCTCTCTCTCTCATTCTCTCTCCTTTCTCTCTCTCCTTTCTCTCTCCTTTTTCTCTCTCTCGCCTTCTTTATCTTTCTCTCTTTAGGCCGAGGGTGGTACTGGCGGTGAGTCACGAAACGTCAACCCTTTCGCACGAAATGAGGGTCGATCGTCAAAAACTGCGGTAAAATTGCGATTTTACTTGTGCTAAAACAACCCTTTCGCACGAAATGAGGGTCGATCGTCAAAAACTGAGGTAAAATTGCGATTTTACTTGTGCCGGAGCAACCCTTTCGCACGAAATGAGGGTCGATCGTCAAAAACTGAGGTAAAATTGCGATTTTACTTGTGCTAAAACAACCCTTTCGCACGAAATGAGGGTCGATCGTCAAAAACTGAGGTAAATTGCGATTTTACTTGTGCCGGAGCAACCCTTTCGCACGAAATGAGGGTCGATCGTCAAAAACTGAGGAAAAATTGCGATTTTACTTGTGTGTAAAAGCTTCTGTGTGTAAAAGCGTCTGTGTGTAAAAGCGTCTGTGTGTAAAAGCGTCTGTGTGTAAAAGTCTTTGTGTGTAAAAGCCTCTGTGTGTAAAAGCGTCTGTGTGTAAAAGCGTCTGTGCGTAAAGTAAAAGCGTCTGTGTGTAAAAGCATCTGTGTGTAAAAGCCTCTGTGTGTAAAAGTGTTTGTGTGTCAAAGCGTCTGTGTGTAAAAGCGTCTGTGTGTAAAAGTGTCTGTGTGTAAAAGCGTCTGTGTGTAAAAGCGTCTGTGTGTAAAAGCGTCTGTGTGTAAAAGTCTCTGCGGGTAAAAGCCTCTGTGTGTAAAAGCGTCTGTGTGTAAAAGAGCCTGTGTGTAAAAAGCGTCTGTGTGTAAAAGCGTCTGTGTGTAAAAGCGTCTGTGTGTAAAAGTCTGTGTGTAAAAGCGTCTGTGTGTAAAAGCGTCTGAATGTAAAAGCTCTGTGTGCAAAAGCGTCTGTGTGTAAAGCGTCTGTGTGTAAAAGGCTTCTGCGTGTAAAAGCGTCTGTGTGTAAAAGCGTCTGTGTGTAAAAGCGTCTGTGTGTAAAAGCGTCTGTGTGTAAAAGCGTCTGTGTGTAAAAGCGTCTGTGTGTAAAAGCTGCTTGTGTGTAAAAGCGTCTGTGTGTAAAAGCGTCTGTGTGTAAAAGCGTCTGTGTGTAAAAGTCTCTGTGTGTAAAAGTGTTTGTGTGTAAAGCGTCTGTGTGTAAAAGCGTCTTGTGTAAAAGGGTCTGTGTGTAAAAGCGTCTGTGTGTAAAAGCGTCTGTGTGTAAAAGCGTCTGTGTGTAAAAGCGTCTGTGTGTAAAAGGCTCTGTGCGTAAAAGCGTCTGTGTGTAAAAGCGTCTGTGTGTAAAAGAGCCTATGTGTAAAAAGCGTTTGTGTGTAAAAGCGTCTGTGTGTAAAAGCGTCTGTGTGTAAAAGCGTCTGTGTGTAAAAGCTTCTGTGTGTAAAAGCTTCTGTGTGTAAAAGCGTCTGTGTGTAAAAGCGTCTGTGTGTAAAAGTGTTTGTGTAAAAGTGTTTGTGTGCAAAATCGTCTGTGTGTAAAAGCGTCTGTGTGTAAAAATCTCTGTGTGTAAAAGTCTCTGTGTGTAAAAGTCTCTGTGTGCAAAAGCGTCTGTGTGTAAAAGCGTCTGTGTGTAAAAGGCTCTGTGTGTAAAAGCGTCTGTGTGTAAAAGTGTCTGTGTGTAAAAGAGCCTATGTGTAAAAAGCGTTTGTGTGTAAAAGCGTCTGTGTGTAAAAGCGTCTGTGTGTAAAAGCGTCTGTGTGTAAAAGCTTCTGTGTGTAAAGCTTCTGTGTGTAAAAGCGTCTGTGTGTAAAAGCGTCTGTGTGTAAAAGTGTTTGTGTGTAAAAGTGTTTGTGTGCAAAATCGTCTGTGTGTAAAAGCGTCTGTGTGTAAAAGTCTCTGTGTGTAAAAGTCTCTGTGTGCAAAAGCGTCTGTCTGTAAAAAGTTCTGTGTATGAAAAACTTTACAAAAATACGATGCAAACTATTGAATAACTATTGTCTTGTACTAGTCATATATTGTCTTGATACTAACAACAGAAGACTCTGCTCCTCTACGCTCTCGGGCCATCCGTCATCTAGTTTTTTGAATGTCAGCAGCTGTCAGCATATTTACTTTGTATGAAAGTTTATATGTTGTTTTTTTCCAGATATCTTTCTCAGGATCATATTTCTGAAGCTGTGAAGCTATGGAAACCAAGTATCAACAGATCACATAAAATATCACTGGGTATGTGGGCCATATAACAGAAGGAAATTTGGGCAAGTACCTGCTCCCCAGGTTGATGCCGATGCAAGGAGATGACCTTTTGGAATTTTCTGGCTTTGGCGATTGCTTGCTGGCGCCAATCTTTTCATCAATGTGTGGAAAGTTTTGCCTTTTCAGACCGTGTCGCATCGCATTGATGCCTCATCGAGATGCGCAAGCGTTGCAGGTCGACGCATTGCAAAGGATGATATCTTTCTACCGGCTGAAGGCACTTGCGAAGATCGAGCTTACTTACTGCATACTTGCTTCCGAAGCGGTTGCGACCTGCTCCTGCTGTGCGAACATTTGCAAAATGCATTTTGCATGCAGTGGCGCATTCTCAGTTTTCCCCCCAATCTGTTGGCACCTTTCCTTTTTTCCCACAAAATCAATCAGGGAATCTCATCAGAATATAACCGAATTGAAATTGCAGGCATGAATTTAGGTAAATCATAATTCAAACGCAACATATCACCATCTAAATGCATCATGCTTTTCTCCATCAGTCTGGTAGGTCTGCTCTCTGGGCTCCGTTGCAGAATGGCGACAGCTGTCATCGCGATTGGCTCTGCTGCATATCCAGCCACTTTGGCAGCTTGCGTTGGTGCAACGTGGTTTCATTTGGAAAGCGATGGCTCGTACCTCTGCTTGCGTTGAAAAATGCCTGCGTCCAATGAGGCTGGCTGCTGCGTGCTACAAATTGAAGCAAGTTCAGGTCTAAAAGTAACCAGATGATTGTATTCCAACAAGCTCTTTGTCTGGAATTGACAAGAGGAAGGGTCGTGATATGTGCATGTCATGGATTGTGTTCGCGACAGCCGTGGTTGTCATGGATTGCAACATATTTGCTGTGGACGCATTAGTTGCGGGAAAGCTGCAGGAAAACAGATAAAATCAAATTCTCCAGCTTCATGATTGCACTTGTCATGATTCATGTTTGGTTGCTGAGGTTTCCTTTCCACAGCTCAAATGATACCGTGTAAGTGATTATTTACATGCTTTCTTCCTGGCATTAGCATTTCCTCACTTCCGAACAGTTATAACAGTTGCAATATAGACAAAAACAGTTATGTTACAAAAACAGTTAATTCTACCAGTTCTAAGTAAGACTTATAACTGGTCAGATCATGACTTATCAGTGCTAACATACCTGCTATAAGTCAATTATAACTGTTACTTGTAATTGCAAGTACCACTTCAGTTTTAACTTTAAAAGGCCTTAAACTGCAATTGTTGCATCCACTATGGTCAAATCAGAGTTTTTGATGGTCCAATCGCTTTGTGATGGCTAAATCCACATGTTTGATCATTTTTTGTTGGTAACATGGTAAAAAATCCAATTTTATGATAGTGAAATCCCTATGTTTGATGATTTTAATGGTGGCTAAGGAACCGTTTTTGATGGTTTTGATCCATATGTCCATAATATCTATGACAGACTATGACATATTCCAATGTCCACTCCAATCCTCCCCTCCAACCCGGGTTCCTTGCTTCATCTGCGAGGACAGGACCGGGCGAAGCGGCTGATCATCGGCGAGCTGCAAATGAGTCGCTTGGAAGTGTTGGGATATGGCGGAGATAGGTGCAATTGTAGTTTTGAACCAATGCAAATTGTGATTTAAGCAGCGAAGTTGGAGGTTTTAAGACCATTTTAGATCAATTCTTGCTGTATAGAAACCACATGTAAAAGATCTTAAAAGTGCAGATTCCATGTTTCAATAAAATTATCAAGTCCCTAACTTGTCTCACGTGTTCACCCCTGTGCCCGCCGACGTTGATCACGTTGATCAGGTGGCCATTTGATCTTGAACGCCGTGGTGGAGCATCTGATGAACACCACGAAGTTGAGGCACGGCACCGGGCCACCGCCACCACAATATTGGCATGGGGGTTTAAGCCTCTAATATTGGGGATACGTACATGCAGACATACATACATACATACATACATACATACATATATATATATATATACAGGGTGGTGCCCCCCAGTTGTAAGTCGGTTTATAAACCATAGTAACTGTAGATGTAATTACGATAAACCCAAGTTATTGAACTTATAAACTAACTTAGCTAACTATGGGGCACCACCTTGTATTATATACACATGTGTATATATATATATGCAATGTGCACATAAAACCAATAATGATTTGCTTGCGGATTTCAACTATTTATCGTTTGTTCAACCATACCTCGGATGAGATGACCAGTTTGATTTGTGTAAAACCGAAAAACATGCGAAAACCAGATGGTTTGGATTTGGCAAATCATCCAAATATGATCGAGCACGTTTCAGTCTGATTGGTAATTGAGGATCATTCAGCCAGGTGTACATGGTGGAATTCATATCAACCCCGTATGAATTGGGGGGTTGTATGAGTTCGGGGGTGGCATCATTTTAGGATCCTCCAGGGTTCAACCATGCATGTTGTGTTGCATGGTGAGCAAACATACTAGATTTGTTTGCATAGTTTCAATGGTTAGTACGAACGGTTTTTACATATCATGAAACATATCATACATACCTACATACTTTACCCTCTGGAAAAAAAATACATAGCTATTGAAAATGGCAATTTATAGTGAGTTTTCCCATTAAAAATTGCGATTTTCCAAAGATTTCCGATGTTTACCAGAGTGTACATATCATGATGTTTTGTGAACAGTTCCAATCGAATTGCCACGTCTGCATGGAATTATGGTGGGTGAACTGCATGAACATGATGCTGTCAAGCAGGATCGTGATTTTTCCCAAAAGATTTTGATAGTTGGTCAGGGACTCAAACCTCCATCTCCTCATCAGGTTGTACATGCATATCTATCTATATATATATATGGTTGGTGGTTTGGAACAGCCGCGGGCTCAACACCTTCCAGCTGGTGCGGCCGTCCCAGCTGAGCGTTGATGGTTACGTTCCTCGCTTTCGCCATGGCACTGACCCTGGAGATCTGTCTGGTCTTGGACGTTGTGGTCTTTGTTTCCTCCCTTGAAAGTCACTTGCTTCGGACTCGAGCAACTGGCAACCTGGTCAAGTACAGTGGACTTTTGGAAGGGGGCCATGACTCAGTTACACTGATTGATGCGGTGGTGGGGCGACAGTTCCTGGTTCCTGCCACTGCCTGTGGAGCCAGCACCATGGTGCTCCATCCTGCAGTGCCATCGTGGGCGAACTTGTTCAAACAGATTGATGCTTGTAGTGGTTTGTGTCAGATGGATGGCCAATTGGTGGAAGCTTCTGACCATCAGACCCAGCGTGTGAACTACCTCCGAGCCCAGATGCCATCTCAGGATCAGCAGTTGTATGGGCAGATTGAAACGCAGACTCGTATTCAAGCCGCTATGTTGGAGACCCAGCTCTCTCACATTTGGGGTGTGGTGTCAATGCTCCTGGTGCTCCATCCTGCTGTGCCATCGTGGGCGAACTTGTTCAAACAGATTGATGCTTGCAGTGGTTTGTCTCAGATGGGTGGCCAATCGGTGGAAGTTTCTGACCATCAGACCCAGCGTGTGAACTACCTCCAAACCCAAGTGCCATCTCAGGATCAGCAGTTGTATGGGCAGATTGAAACGCAGACTCGTATTCAAGCTATGTTGGAGACCCAGCTCTCTCACATTTGGGGTGTGGTGTCAATGCTCCTGGGTGCTCCATCCTGCTGTGCCATCGTGGGCGAACTTGTTCAAACAGATTGATGCTTGCAGTGGTTTGTCTCAGATGGATGGCCAATCGGTGGAAGTTTCTGACCATCAGACCCAGTGTGTGAACTACCTCCAAACCCAGCTGCCATCTCAGGATCAGCAGTTGTATGGGCAGATTGAAACGCAGATTCGTATTCAAGCTATGTTGGAGACCCAGCTCTCTCACATTTGGGGTGTGGTGTCAATGCGTCTGAGAGAGGAAGGTGAATGATGGGGAGGGCGCGAGCCATCTGGTTGGTGCAGTGTCAGGACTGCTACTTTGTCAGTTTACTGGCCTATGGTGGCTCTGGTGCCCGACTTTGTTTTCCTGATTATGGGGTTAGCATCTGCACTGTCTTATGAGAGAGTATGGTCGTCTGCCAAAACGAAGATGGTTGTGCTTCTTGAGTCTTTCAGTGTTGTCAGGGTCGGGGAAGCCTTTTCCCCGGGTCCTGTGGATGCCTTTTGTGATACCAATTTTGTTTTGGAAACTGCCAACCCTTCGGGTCTCCAAAGCGATGCTGGTCGTGTTGCTGCGAACATGTCCCGTGGGGATGTTTGGGCCATGAGTGAGACACAACTTGGTTCCCGGAAGTTGCAGTCGTTCAACTCCAGTCTCCGTTTTGTACAGTTGCCGTTCTGTGAAATTTGCCGCCATGCCAAATTCGACGTGATGTCTCAGTACTGTAGGCCACAGAGCCACATGATATGTATGCATGCCAGCTGTATGGCGAACCCATTTTCGAACCCATTTTCGAATGAACGGTTGGAGAACGCTGACTGGTGGTTTCTCAAATTAGGTGCTGTTCCCGTTAGACGGTCAACTAGGGTTTTGGATCACCTGCTTGTTCCGGTGTGACATTGTCCCGTATCAGCCACAGTCAAAGCACCGCTTTCGAGAACTAAGGCAGTGCGCAGATCAAAGTGGACAAAGTGGTGGTTTGGAACATTTTTTATTTTCCCATGTATTGGGAATCGTCATCCCAACTACTGACTTTCATATTTTTTTCAGAGGGGTAGGTGTACCACCAACCATATATATATATATATATATATATGGTTATACAGTCCTTGACTTGACTATCCCTGGTGAGCTGGTAAGAATGTCATTTTCGTTTACAATCAACCAAGGTTGGCATTCTGCCACCGCCTCAGGCGTTCTTCTCTGGTGGTTTTTGCTGGTGCCAGTGCTGGGGGCATTGGTGTTTTCCATCATGCCGATTGGTTGCTCGGTGCTTCAACCCGTTGGGAAAATGAAAGTTACTGGTTTGAAGGTTTTACTTACCCAAAATGTAAGTTACATTTAGGGGAGGCCCCCTCCTGCTAAAACGGTAGAGATCTCATTTTAGCCAATTTGCTTTCTTATATATGGGGTGTGGGAATAGCCCAGCATAGCCATTTCAGTAGTGAAAATGATGGTTCACCGGTGGACAACTCATGTGACATGAGGCAAATGTTAGTAAATATCTATAGAAGATATGCACTCTAACTTGATGGGCAACCACACAATGGGGGTCAAATGAGTAGTCACCCTGGGTCAATTTTTGTTTGGTGAGGTGCCGCCAAGATGAAAAAATACCGGCAAAACTGAAGGATATGTCCGATAGATCTGAGATATGGGGATGGGTCAAAAGCTATCATTACCATATGACTGGGGGAATAAACATCCATTCGCCAGCTATTTAAGGGTACCATCCGGGTACCAGGGTTTTCACCCATAGCCACATGGGATTGGATTCCAGTTGGTGTTGACCCCAGATGAGTGGTACTAGTACCTTCCCTAATTAAACATGTTGAACAGCATGGGGATCAACAGCTACAGGGTTGACATCCACTGGGTATCTGGGATATAGTGGACTGCATAGCAATCGCTGCTCGTGCTGGATGAACTTCCCAGCTCTGCTAGTGGATCAAGGACAGAATGGAATTTCTACAAGTGGGTGAAGCTTCTGGCAGCGCCCCCGCACCGCCTCTGATCCAGGAGGTCCTGTCCACAGCTGCTGCAAGCTGACCGCAATGTGGGGCTAACCTGGTTTCAAGTTGCAGATGTTCTAGCTCAGATCGAGAATGTTGCCTTCAATGAGTGACTCCAGGGCCAGCAGCACACCCAGCAGGAGAAGCAAAAGCATCCCATGGCAAGGCAAGCCTGCGCCCAAACACTCTGGCCGCCCACTAGAGCCTGATTCTCCACCAAAGGCAAAGCGGCCACTGCCAAGGCCGTTGCCGCATTCAATTTGGGAGCCGCATTCAATTTGGGAGCCTATACCAGGAGAACCACCTGCAGAGAAGGCCTGCGCTGCGTATGACAAGCGCCAAGCCTAGGGTGCCCCAGGCCAAGAGGAAGGGGGACCCGAAGAGGACCCACCCACAGACATGCCATGTGCCGGCGGCAAGCGCAACACGAAGTTGGTTGGGGGCTGACATTTGGGGGGTGCCCTTAGATAGTGTTCAGCGTGTATATATAAAAATATATATATATTTATATGTATATAGCATCCCATATGATATGTCATATTCAATGGCCAATTTTCAGTATATCCTGAATGATATCACGATATCATATGGTATCCCATGTGTGATGTTCCATGGTTAATTGTTCAAATGCAATTTCCCGTACATATGTTTTATGTGTGAAAATCATGTGTTATATCAATTCCTATATAAATTCATGAAAACCAATACTAAGCCCCAATTTCTCTCTTTGATCAATGTTTTGCCATTAATGTATATTCCCCTTATATCCCCTCCGGTGGCGGGAGATATCCCCATTTTATATTCCCACTATTGCATATTCCCACTATGATCCAATTTTTTGAGATTTCAATTATGCCCATAATGTTACCATTGGCTCAGGATTTTCCATTGTATTCCCAAAGCAACTACCCCAATATATTTGGAATCTGATTCAGTTATTCCCTTAATCCTAAAACAAATAGGAATTATATATCATAATGGAAATCAAGTACGGTGCACTTAGATTGTTATTCCCACTAATATAATATATAGGGCTACTTGTTTTTTCCCATTAAATAGATTCCTATGAATTCCCTCAATATATCCCATTTCATGACTACAGGATGGGGCCCCCAAGATAGCTATATAAGTTGAGATATACGCGGCTTAACTATGGCTTATGGTAGATATAACTATAGACTATAGTATTCACGGTGTTTATAAACCAACAAACATCACTGGGGGGCACCATCTTGTAATCCCAACCCCCTAATAAATCCCACCTCTGTTTTGTGCCCCCCAAAATGAACTGATCGAATAGATTCCAGTACTAAATCAGAGTATAGAAAATGTGTAGCATTCCCATCAAATTCCTATCCTGTAATCCTATCCACCTAACAAATACCAACTTGTTTTCTTCCATTAGATTCCTACCAGTAGTACCGCACAAGGCGGTGGCGGAAGTTTCAAAAATAGGAAACCTATAGGAGAGATTGGCTGTTGTGAATCAGGGATGGCAGAGCGAATCCACCGATGGACCGAAAGGTGCTTGAGGTCTCCCTTCTTTCTCTCTCTTTCTCTGACTATCTACTTACCTACCAGCCTATCTTCTATGTATCTATCTATCTATCGATCTATCTATCTCTCTCTTTCTCTCTTTCATTTAGTTACCTATCTACCTATCTACCTATCTACCTATCTACCTATCTACCTATCTATCTATCTATCGATCTATCGATCTATCTATCTATCTATCTATCTATCTATCTCCCTCTCTCTCTCTCTTTCATCTGTCTATCTGTCTAGCTGTCTACCTGTCTGTCTATCTATCTGTCTATCTGTCTACCTGTCTATCTGTGGTGCAGTGTCATTCAGTGGAATGTAGTGTAGTGTAACGTAGTGTAGTGTAGTGGAGTGTAGTGGAATGTAGTGTAGTGTAGTGTAATGTAGTGTAGTGTAGTGTAATTTCGTGTAGTGGAGTGTAGCGGAGTGTAGTGGAGTGTAGTTGTGTAGTTGTAGTTGTAGTTGTAGTGTAGTGGAGTGTAGTGTAATGTAGTGAAGTGTAGTGGAAGGTAGTGCAGTGTAGTGTAATGTAGTGTAGTGTAGTGGAGTGTAGTGTAGTGTAATGTAGTGTTGTGTAGTGTAATTTAGTGTAGTGTAATTTAGTGTAGTGGAGTGTAGTGGAGTGTAGTTGTAGTGTTGTGTAATGTAGTGTAGTGTAGTGGAGCGTAGTGTAGTGGAGTGTAGTGTAGTGTAATGTAGTGTAGTGTAGTGAAACGAAGCGACATCTGAACCTCCAAAAGTGGTCCGAACCCCTGGTGTTTTTAACATTTCGACTTCAAAATGTGCTTCGCGCCACAACGGCGTGCACTTTTTCGACATCTGAACCTCCAAAAGTGGTCCGAACCCCTAGTGTTTTTAAACATTTTGACTTCGAAATGTACTTCGCGCCGCAACGGCGTGCACTTTTTCGACATCTCAACTTCCAAAAGTGGTCCGAATGTGGTGTGTTTTGTACATTTTGACTTCCAAATGTGCTTCGCGCCACAACGGCGTGCACTTTTTCGACATCTCAACTGCCAAAAGTGGTCCGGAGCTGGTGTGTTTTGTACATTTTGACTTCGAAATGTGCTTCGCGCCACAACGGCGTGCACTTTTTCGACATCTCAACTTCCAAAAGTGGTCCGACGCTGGTGTGTTTTGTACATTTTGACTTCAAAATGTGCTTCGCGCCACAACGGCGTGCAATTTTTCATCTCTCATCTGGCCAGCTGCCTCCGCACCCGCCGCTTTAGCGAGCCTACTTTTCGAGCCTCCGGAGCCCCTAGTCATTGGAAAAACACAGTGTTTCGTGACTTTCCTACCTTTTCTCGCATCTGCATCTTCTTTCTTCTTACTCTTTCTCTTCTACTCTTCTTTCTTCTAATCTTTCTCTTCTCTCTGCCTCTTCCCTGCTCTGCTTTTCATCTGTCCATATTGTCGGAAGTTTGACTTCTAAACTTCCTTCGATGAATTCCCTCAATATATCCCATTGAATGACTGTCATTCCCATTATGCTTAGGATTTCTTCCAAGTTGCATTCCTTGGGCATCGCACCACGCACCGTAGTGCTACCCATCGCCGGTTTGCTGCTTGGCACTGCTTGGTGTGGCTTGTGATAGCCCCGTAGGCCCGGTGGCACCGTATAGTGCTAGTTTATAAAGCCGATTAACTATGGAGATCTCTACCGCAAACCATAGTTAGCCTGGTTCTAAACCAAGTTAGCTATCTAAGGGCCCCCCCCCACATTGTATGAGTTGGGATATGGCCACCCTGAAACTATGATGAACCCATTCAGGATTATAAAATTATAGTAAAGATAACTGGGAGACGCTTTGAAGGTTTCTATGAATGAGATGGTTTTCAGCCTTAATTGACATGGTGACACTAGACAAATGTCGGAAACCGATGTTGGTGAGCGAATGATTCTCATCTCCCACCCTGGTACTTTATTGCGTCACCACAGGCCCCACAAAGCAATCCATCCAGATCAACTCGTGCACCATTTAAAAGTGGAGTGGTATTCCACTTCAGTTTGCAGAGGTCCAGAACAAAGACAGATTAGTTCTTTAGTTTATCTTGGTTGGAGAATGGTATTATATGTATGTTCTAGTATGTTTCTGTGTCATTCTGTGTCTATCTCTACATTCATCTGCTTATACATATATATATATATGTGTGTGTGTGTCTACCTATCTTTGTATACATATATAACATGCCCCAGAAAGGATGGAACACAAAAAAAACATGCTGAAAAGATACAGTTAAACCCCTTCAATCATACAACAAATACTTTATAAGAATGTACTTAGAACCGCAGTGATCTATTGGTGGTTCTATGTATGTCTAGATTACTATGTCTATAATATTATGTAATGTTATGCCTATCATACTAAGAATATATATATATATATACACACATATATATAATATATATATATAATATATATATATATATACATAAAATGTTATATATATATATATATATTAATAACTTATCTTGGTTGGGTATCACTGCAGAAAAATCAGACCCAGAGGGCTTGCGGCCCTTGCGGTCCCTGCGGTCCCTGCGGTCCCTGCGGTTCGTTTGCCCAGGTTCTTCCCAGAACGCTGGCCAGTCCTTTGGGAAGAGCTTCTTGGATTGGCCCAGTTGATGCAGTAGGTCAGCCCTTTACCAGTTGTAAGCTAATAAGTCAGCCCCATTTATAACCATATAAAACAAAAACATAACCGACCATAAACATAAACATAACTGGTAACGGACTTTAACTGTGGGATTCTCCACCAACTATTTTTTTGGGTCACTAGTTGTTTCCGAGCAGAAATGGTGTTTTGTTTTCGTTTTCATGGGACTATCATGGCTAGATGGTAGAATGGGTGTGGATATAGATGTCAACCTCGCATTCATAGACTTTGTTGATTCAGAAACAGGTGGCTACGCCAAAACTGTTTTTGACACATATATATATAGACAGAACTGGTACCCAAAAATAATAAATAGTTAATACGTCCTATTCAACAACCTTGGTCATGGAAAGTCCCTTCGCAGGGTCTTGTTGCCCGTGGCAGAGATCGTCCAGCACAAGGATCATACAGCACAGGGATCATTACCAGTGGTACTCAATGACATGCGACGAATTCCTGGTGATGAATGGCTGAATCCTCCTGCGGACTCCATAGCCAGTACGAGAAGACGACAGGGTGGAAGTTTAAGCAGACATACAAATTCATGTCTGTTTGTTTGTCAAATCCTGTGGCTGGTTGGTGGCTTCAAACATTTGTTTATTTTCCATTTCATATATGGGACTTCATCCTTCCCATTGACTCATATGTTTCAAGATGTTTATTGCACCACCAACCAGGTGGCATAGCTGATTGTTTTTTTTACATGGCGACCAAGGCGTTTTTTTGTAGAAGACTCACGGCGTCCAAAAATCAGCAGATGCAGCTATGGTCCAACATTGCAGACTGCTTGGTGCACCGATTTGTGGCGGGTTAGAAAAGGATCAAATTCCGACAGCTGAAGTCTCGTTGAGGTGAAAGTGAGACCTGAGGATTCTTGGTTGCTGATTTTTTGTTAATGATGGTGTTGTGATGTTTTATAGTTAACAAACAACAACCGTCACATACAATGTGGGGCCCCCAAACGTTATGTCTGTTGGTTTATAACCCCATCTAACTAGTTCGTTATAACTACCATAAACCCAAACGTGAAATTGTAGTTATTTGGCCCAACTTAGCTATCGGACGGGGGCCTCACATTGTACGCTTGTCACAACTGATGAGGTTCCGCATGGGCGTGGAGGTGCCAGTGGACGGCTTCATGGCGTCCTGGTGTCATCTCCTGGAAGGCGCCACCTGGGTGGATATGATGCATGTGAGCAGGAATCAGTAGATAGAGATGTATCAGATACCTCATATGTATATATATATACTGTGGTGTGTATATATATATATATACACATTTTTTGCATATATGTACATATACTCATTTATAGTTTTATGTTATTTATATACATATCAGCAGCAACACATGATCCGAAAATGGTCGATGTGATCGTCACTAGCCATTTCCTTCTGAATTTTTGGCTTCCAACATCAAAGCGATTGAGAACAACATATATGCAACGTACCCATCAGAAAAAGAATGGTCTATGTAGTCCCCCCCAGTAGAAGGGTTCATAATGGCCAGAAGAAGAACCATGGCACTTTAAAAGACGTGGGAGATGGGAAGCTACCTTGCTGGCAATGTCACGTACGTGTCCTATGAAGGTTGGGTATGGATTGTTCGACAGTGCTCCCATCGTCCCGGATGGCAAAAACCGCCGGCACCAGGCAGCTTTCTGCATGAGGGCTGCGTGGCAAATGCCACGGCTGCCAAGCGGCCAGTGAGGGAATGTCAGGCCTGGCATGGCATACCTGGGCGCGAATTTGTTTACAGTCCACTTGAGGAACGCCCAAAGTCGTTCACTATCCTCCTCCACTGGTATCATGCGGGTATGGGTCGAAGGATGTTAAGACCCAGAAGATTGCAATGTTTCATCATTTTTTAGTATTGTATTTATCATGATTTATCCATATTTATCCAACAAATTCTGGATCCATACCTCATTTTTGATCCATACCCATATCATATTCAATGGGAATTCAGGATCCTAAAATGGAGGTACTGTACCATATAGTAGGTACCTCCAATTTAGGTTCCTGAAATGGCCAGTGACATATTGTCAGATGTGGTCATCTTCAGGACGTTTCGAAGATTCTGCCGCTGCTGAAGGCCTGAGGGATATCGAGTACCGAGGTGATCCTTGAAGCTGACAAAAGGATCTTTGATTGTGGTATTCATATATGTATGAATATATTAGTATATACTGTATTTAATATACAATATGGTATATATAAAATATAATATGATATGTATATAATATATAATTTAATATAATATATATAATACTATATATAGTCATAATAAATATATATGTATATACATATTATGTAAAATATATTTGAAATGTATTTGATGATATGTATCCGAGCAAAGTCCAATATTTTGTCCATTGCTATCCCATATACTGTCGCCAAGCTCAGGGACCATCCCAGCTTGGACGTGCATTTGCGTGGTCAACAGTCATGCTTCCAAGTTATAAACCAGTTCTCTATAGTTGAGACAACACACATATATATATATATACATATACCTAGGTTATAGTAAGATTCATATCACTAGATTCATATATATATATATACACCTAGATACTGACATAATGGATAGTTATGACAGAATACACAGTGACATCATACATACCTCGATGTGTATATCCCCTTTTTTTGTCGTCACTGGGATTCAAGTTGGCGATACCGTCCAGCTGAGGCCGAGGTCTTCATTTTCCAGAATCAGTTCGATCAGTTGCATGGCATTGGCAATTTTCCCCACAGTTTGCTATGGAAAATCACATTTTTTTTGACAAGGTAAATCATCATAAACCTTCTATAAACGGGCCATTGTTCATCATGGTTGTACAGTAAATATGGATGGTAAAATCATTGTTGTAAATTGTAATTCATCATGTTTAATAAATCTATAAATGAGCCATTTTGAAAAGCGAACGGTTAAAGAACCATAGGACAATAGGTTAAGTGATATGACCCTGAAAGTCAAATGATTTACTTCACCCACATCCACAATTACTGTGATTCAGTGGTAAAATGAATTAGACTGAGTCCTTGGGATTTTCAGGGTTAAATGTATTGGGGGACTTTATATATATATAATTAGGTATATATATATATAATTATATAGATATACATATATATATATATATTATAGATATACATATATTGGTGATAAAATATAGGATTGGCTTAAGACAATCATTGGTACATCTAGTAAGAAAGACATGTTGAGGACTTTGATACCTATCTTTAGAATTCTTTAGACACATCCAGTGGTTTAAAACCAACGGTACACTTAGGCATAGTGTGAGAGTTCCTGGGTTTGCTTAGTCGGTGTCTTATCCATTTTCCCGATCATGAATCCATCATACAGGGAATCCATAGCGATGTGTTTTCATTTTTTAATGGGGGGGCCCAAAGTGAATCCAAGCTTATTCAGCCTTTGGTCATATGGTGATGGGTCAACATTGAGATACCCTTGCAGTTAGATTTAATACTGTTTGATCCATGGCTCCCAGAAACATTGGGATGGGATCAAAGCGACCGAGCCCTGAAATCATGGCCAAAATAAATAGAGGTTAGTGAAATATGATCATTTACCCAGATATATGTTCATTCTGCATGTACGTTCTGCTCTGTTGTTGTCACTGTTGTCACTTGAATGTCGAGCCAATATGTTCTGCCGTGCAGCTTTCAAGATCAGCTTCCAAGAATGAATCAAGCGGTAAGTCGTGGGGTTTTCTGCGTAGGGGCTCGAGGTACCCGAGCAGTTCGCCATGGTCCCCAAACACATCACAAGCCTCTCTACGAATTTATATAATTTATATATACAGAATAGGTCACCCAAAATCATCGCCAGAAGGACAACATCATCACCTCATGCTCACACAACACACACACACATACACTTGGACATACACACATACACTTGGACATACACACGTACACACATACACTACACACACACATAGACATACACACACATTGCGGGGATCTTTAGTTTTTCTTGGGTGCATGCATCAAGTATATATGCACCATAAAACTGGCAAATTTACAGGCAACTGCAATGATATCCGATTTGTCAGGGGTCAAAGTCTGACCAAGCCCCAATATTTTGAACTGATATAATAGGTCTATCTGAAATAAATTAAATAATTATAAGAAAATTCAGACGTTCGAAAGTTTGCCATGTTTCAACCAGCTGTAGCCGACATGACGGGTGGGGAGACCAATGAGCCCGTGCTGGTGGCTCAACTGGACGATGTCATGGTACCTTGACAGCGGACAGCGGTGGGAAGGTGTGTATCTTTGGTCCATGAGCTATAACTACATATCATATTATATATTTATGTACTTATATTCTTATTATATATATGCATGCATGAGTATATATATATATAGGTCCATCAGTTATTTGATAATATTACAATATATGTCTATATGTGCATGCAGTGCAACTATGCATGACACTTTGATCCAAATATACATTAATAGCTCCCTACACTGTCGCCAAGCCACTTGCAAGATGTTCCAAACAAGTGCTGAAAGATCCTCCCAGAAGCCAATCTGTGTGGTCTGATGGGTCAAAAGTTAAGGGCTAGGGGACCACATATTTGGTTTGTTTTTTTCGAATCTGCAATGCAAATTTACATCTTTGATATATATGATTTTGACCTCTTAGACACAATATATAGATAAATTGATAGATAGGTGAACTCATGTATAATTGTATTTTATATTTATATACATAAACACATATAAATAAATACAAATAGATTTAAATAGATAAGATAATCTTAGATTGGATTAGATTAGCTATATCAATTATGAGACACCCTTATTCTCTACATGTCACCTCCCCCCGTTTCAGGTGGGCGACCTGGAAGAGATCCGCTACCCCGACGGGCAGCAGGTCACGGTGCGCGTCTTGGCGCTGGACACCATCAGTTGCCCCGCGCGGGCGCGGGTCTGCCGCAGGGACCGGACGGAGGTCATGGTGGTGAGGATGGTGGACTCGTTACTTGGAAAGTGCTGGGAGTCGTGGCATGATCTATAAATGGGATGTGAAAAAGGGATATTTACCAGTAAGAATAGAGGATATAGAGGTTTCACCCACAATAATAGGTTATAATGGGACATTAATCGAATAATCATAGGTTGTAATGGATATTAATGTGGTTAAAACAATGTCATAAACCACCCATGACTGGGAATGGTAAGCATACCACCTATTTATGGTATATATCATGGAGGAATAAGAGACATATTACCATCTTGGTAAATTAACTTGTTGACCCTGAGAATCACCAATTTTTAATGGACACTAATCTTCCAACCCCGAAAAATGCTAGGATCGAACTGTTAATTTACCAGAGGGCAATCATGGATATCAATGGGAATTGATGGGGGAATATACTATCTAGATCTAACATGATCTAACTTACTAAGTAGGTTACATCCCAGCTTTTGGTAGTCGGATAAGTACGCTTAATCCACACGGAAGAAAATTCGGGTGTTCAACGCCTTTATACCAAGTGGGATGAACCACCAAGTGGTGAAAATAGACTATGTATATTTTTATATATGTATATATATGTATTTATATCTATGTGCATGATTGTGCATGCATATACATACGTATATTTGATATGTATATTTATACGTATGTATGTGTACATACATATACACATTATGATCTTCAAACCTTCCACCTTTGTTTCCGAGGTCCAACTCCCCACGAGTCACCCGTACCCCGGCGCCGGCGCCGCCTACCGCGCCGTTGGCGGCGCTTCGCGGCGCCTGGCGCCTGGCGGTGCGACTGCTGGAGACGACGCTGGCGACGGTACCGACGGCCATGGAGAAGTTGCGGGAGGAAGCTGCAGGAGTTTGTAGGGATTCAGGGATATGAGATGGTTCACAATATCTGGTTGGTGGTTTGGAACATGAATGTTATTTCCCATTTCATATGGGATAATCCTTCCCATTGACGAACTCATATTGTTCAGAGGAGTAGGTATACCACCAACCAGATATGGTTAATCTTGTGGTTAATGATGGGCAATGATGGTTAATGATGGTGAATATGGGTCATAAGATGGTCAATGATATGATTAGTGGTATGGTCAATGATATGGTTAAGAATCTGGTAAAGAATATGGTTAACCACGTGGTTAATGATGGTTAGTGATGTGCACTGAATGATGGTTAGTGACCTGGTATTGATTTGGTGATATAATCATAGGTAACCATGTTTGAATGATGGTAATGATATCTCTGTATGGGTCAGACTCGGGCATCCCAAGAATTGGATCGTCAGGTCCCTAAAGATAGACTCAGGCCTCTCTGGTCCCATGGCATGTCCCATGGGTCTTACATTTTGACCCATACCCATATTGTTCCGTATAAGATCATTAAACATACATACGTACATATATATATATATATAAATAATATATATATATATTTTTAAAATAATATATATATTTATATATATATATATATATTTATAATAATATATATATATATATAATATATATGTAATATAATATATATATATATATATTTAACAACACTTGTTTATTTGAATATGTTTTTTCGTTTCCATATATATATATATATACATATTGTTTACAGGACTACAATATATTTACATAATATGATATAATATGGACATATATATATATATATATTTATTTATTTACATGTATGTATATGTATATGCATGTATATACACACATATAATCATATATTATATATGTACATATATATATATATTAATTTATATATAAATATATATTAATATTAATATATATTTATATTAATATATATATATATATATTAATATACATATATATATGATTTTATATGTGACAGTCAGTATCTGGGTGTTAGAAACTGTTTGTTTGATGGTGATGCAGGAGCTGCAGGTGTTTTCCTGAGGATTTCACCAGCCGTGGATCTGAGGGTTGGTCAATTCTGATGGGTCAGCCTCGTTCTTCAAAAAATATATGCTGAAGAAAAACTCGTTCTTGGTGTTTGGTGTTTGGTGTTGGTCTTTGAATACAGGGTTTGGGTAAGGTTAGGAACTGAGGGTATCTATCTCTTGAGAAATACTCAATACATGTATGTAGGTATATATATATATATATATACTGGTTGGTGGTTTGGAACAGTTTGTTCCATATATTGGGAATGTCATCATCCCAACTGACGAACTCATATTTTACAGAGGGGTAGGTTGAAACCACGAAGCAGTATACATTAAAGCGGCAAACGCAAGCCACGTGCAAACCAGTCATGTACCGTTCAACCTCCAAGATCATCCCAGCACGGGGTCACAGGGTGGTAGTAAATCATTCACCTCATCTAACCATAGATAACCTATAAATATAACCTATCTTGGAATTGTTCAACCAAAAAACGTGGTGAATGATGATCATATATATATATATATCTCATATATGATCATATATGTATAATGTTCAAAACACTGTGTTGATTGATGATTCCCGATGTTAGTTTGTGTTTGAACATCTCATCAAAAAGCGCTGGAAATCCCTATTAACCAACCAGTACAATCAAATGAAATTCATGACATTTCGGGGTTTGAACACTGTTCCAACGCATGTTCCGGTTGGGTAGATCCAGCCTGGTCGTACCAGGACCGCCAGCGCCGGTCGCATCTCTTCCGCAGCGGTCTCCGGTCTTGCTGCAACGGCTGCACGACCGGCTGACGCATGTGGGAAGGGCGGCCTGGAGAAGGATGTGGCCAGTGAAAGAAGCAGCGGATGCAGCAGCAGAGGTGTAGTGATGACCATCCCAGTGGTTCGTGAGCATAGTTACCCTCTGGTAAACATACAAAAAACTATGGAAAATCACAATTTTCAATGAGAAAATCAACTATCAATGGCCATTTTCAATAGCTATGTTAAATTACCAGCGGGTATGTTTCGTTCATAACCAAGGTTATGGTTGGTGGTTTCAAACATGATTTTTATTTCCCGTTTCATATATGGGATGTCATCCTTCCCATTGACTAATATTTTTCAAAATGGTTAAAACCACCAACCAGCAAGGTTATGGTTGGTTTGTTTCCAGAGTTAGATGTCTGTTTTTTTCAAAGTAATCAGCCAGAACTTTTAGTATACTTATGGTCATGTGCCAATAGTATGGCCTGAAATATTCAAACATATCTGAAGTATAACAATGATTATTAAAACCCATCGTGTAGCCCTGTCATGCCGATCCAATCCGTGTGCTGGTACTATTGGACTATGATAAGCACAGCTCAGATATCAAACATGTATCTGGTTGGTGGTTTGGACCATTTTCTATGTTTCCATTCAGTTGGGAATGTCATCATCCCAATTGATTTCATATTTTTTCAGAAGGATTGAAACCACCAACCAGGTATTGTAGACTATTATTGTAGCCTCTTTGCGTCTCAAGTGGAGGTCTAATCCCATTCCCCATATGGACCACCAGCCAGAAGAGTCACCAGCCAGTTCATTAGGGGATGAAACCTTTAAGGGGGGTTCCCAAAATGGATGGTTTATAAAGGAAAATCCAATTGTTTAATGGATGATGACTGGGGGGTACTCGCATTTAGGAAACCTCAATATTTGCCACCATAAAATGGTTTTTATGAGTTGTGATGTTGAATTATTTTAATATTGGTGATGTGGGATGACCATAGTCACGACCGATGACAATAGTTATGATAGTTTGGTTTCTATAAGTGGTTTCTTGTCACCAACAAGTTTCACCACAAGTTTCAGTCTGATGATCATGAGCCAATGGTGGGGCCTCATGTATCAAACATGGCTTGTAGCCATCGGAATTGCAGCCCTATTAGACCACGGTTGGTTCACCATGCAACCGCAAACCGGTCACTGGGATGGTCGCGTTGATTTGCAGCGGGAATGTCTACTGGTGAAACTCATTACCAGGACTCAGAAGCATTTTTCATAGTGGATGGAGGAAATGTGCCGCAGTCGTTTGGCATAGGTATATGGCCGCAATGAGAATGGATTATATCATGTTATATCTTGACTTATGGAGGTTATTGCCACAGCTATACCATGATTGTTCACCCAACTGCACCCCCAAACAAAGGCTCCCAAAGTAGTACGGTGCTTCATGGTGCTTCATCACATTTGGCTGTTTTTTTGTTTTTAAGGAGGTGATGATTGTAAGGAAATATCACGATCCCAGGCATTACACAAGAGAAATGGTTGACGTTTACAAGACAGTGTCATACAAAATATGATGTTTAAAAAAACAGTATGATTTCCAACATTTGAGAGCAGTTTCCTCCGCCAAATGACCAGAGCAGCTCGAAAGCGGGCGACGCAAGTGACGAAAAAAAGTTGGTCTTGTTGCGCAATGAAACATTTGGATGCGTGGCAAAATGTGTGCATGCAAAGATTGCTTTTTTTTTTTAAATCCAGCTAGGACGCAATACAACTGACGCAAACGGGGATGCAGAGCGAAGCTAAAATATGAATCGGCAAAGATGGGATGGTCCGAACGACTCCTTTCTCCATGGGCTCTTTCTTTCGGTGAAATAGATCTCATGTGATGCATTGTTGGGGTTTGAACATCATCAAAATAGATCAAAATTATTGGTTGAATAGTGGCATCTGATCGTATCTTCAGTTGTATTGGCTGAAACCATCTTGTTTTATCATTTTCCATCAACTGCACTTGACGACATACTTAATCCTTGTGCTGCAGCCCTAGTTATCCCTACTAACAGTTATAGATGGAATGAAATATTTCCAATAACTAAGGTAGTTAAATAATGTTACATATCATAAATAAGCCCATCAAAATAGCTGTTAGTTGGGCCATAACTGTAGTTATAACTACCAATCTTTTCATCCTGCCCGGGGGCTTCCCCGGACTTAGGTACCAGGCGAATCACCTTGGCCTCTGCCCCCCGGACCTCTGTAACGCCTCCACGGACGTTGCCAGCCGCGCGGGGCAGTACCTGCAGCTCTTTGGGCGGCGGAGTAAGGAGACGTTGCAGGTGGGGAAAACTGGGGGAAGTTGGAGGATTCCACCGGGAATTTTGGAATATGATGGAGATTCTGTTGGGATATGATAGGGGAAGGTAGTTGGATATGGAACTATTGAGTTGGGGAGAATTAGGGGAAATAACCACCTGACATGGATTTAAGCAGCAAATAGTGATTCAAGAAGCCACAAAGTGACAAAGCCGCGCATGTATCCAGCCAATCCTGGATGTGTTGAGGTCAATCAATCATTTGTATGATTATGGTTCGTGGCCGGTTGCAACCATGATTATGGTTTATCAGGAAACAAGTGGTAGGATGATCCCCGAAGTTTGGACCTGGGGCCCCTGAAACAAATTGGGGAAACATGTGGGATATATGGGGGATGTGATGGCTTAAAAGATATGAATTTTCAGGTTCTGTACTAAAAGTCTACTGTGTGACTTAGAGCTCATGAACAAAATTCTATTTTCCTGTCTGTGAAATATTGTGAAATATGATGATGTGCAAGGACTACTGGGATGATTTTCGATCTGATTTATCGGTACTCTAGGAGATATGTTGGTTAGCTGAAAATAAAATCGAACTACATATCAAAAGTCTCAACTTAAGATAGTAGATATAATGTAGATATCCTATGTATGGTATTATCTTCACCATGGTATTTGGAGGATCGCCGTAGCCTTCATATCCTCCCGTTTGTTCCGGCGTTCAGGCCACCATTCAGACTCGACCTAGACTGGGTGTGCTGGCGCCGAGTTGGTTCCTCGGAGATGAAACGATGGGGATTTGACCAACAGCAAGTTGGGTAATCGGGCGAAGCAGTGAGGGTTTCAACCCACACTATCCCTAACCACCTGGATGGGTAGTTTAATCATTTTGTCTGCTATATATAAATGGAAAAAAAACAACAGAACCAGCACAAGATTATTTTGTGTGGACACAAGCTACACTAATGAGGAAATCATAATTTGTCACCAAATGGGGTTCAAAGTGTTTGATGTTCACCATAAATTTCATTAGAACATGTAGACCGGCCGATGCTAGCCATTCTGCAAGGCCTGTGAAGTTTTCCCTTTCAGGGCTTGATGGGTGCGAAGGGCATTTTTTAACCCGCAAACTTGACCCATCATTGCAGGATGGTGCCCCCCAGTTATAAGTTGGTTTATAAACCCCATTGACTATAGTTATATCTGCCATAAACCATAGATATGGGAGTTATAAACTAACTTAGCTAACTATGGGGCATCACCTTGTGGGAACATCTGGCAATTTCTTTTGGCACCTGAAAAAAATGCATGGCAACGATCGTTCTGAACTCCCAGATTTTTGGTAGTTCACGTGCACTAAGCAAATAGATGATCCATATGTTTTCACCAACCAGATGAATCTTTAGTACTTTGAAATGGTGCCCCATAGCCCCAATCAACATAAATCAACTAGTTACCTCCAGTTACTTCAAAAAGAATATTTTTGCGGGTATGATTCCCAATTGTGTGTATAGGTATGAATCCTTTTTGACAGCCAAAAAAATGCCACGCGTGTCGTACCCCCGTTGATGGCTTTGGTTTTTCGGGCCCCGAACCCCAGCTGGAAGCCATCCGGCGGTTGCAGGCTTCCAGAAGGGATTCGGAAACATTCCTATGATTCACAACCATTTATGACTGGTGGGTGGTGACTGGAAATGTGGATGAATTCTATGGTTTATGGTAGATATAACGAACTAGTTAATGGGGATTATAATAGTTTATAAACCAACATATATACTACTGGTTGGTGGTTTGGAACCATGGAATTTTATGACTTTCCATATATGGGAATAATGATCCCAACTGACGAACTCATATTTTCCAGAGGGGTAGGTATACCACCAACCATCCATTCATGATATACTTTGGATAGTCTGGATGAATTATGCTTCACTAAGCTCAACAAGTTCAGCTATTTGGGGATGATTCCCTTCACGTTCACCAACCATGCCATGGGACAACTCGACGCCCCGGCACGGTTTTCGAGGTTTGACCACACCAATCAGCTGGAGCGAGAGATCGCTGCTTGGCTTGGTATCATGCAATGTGGCAGCCCCCTAAAACATTATGTGCGTAGGGTTGTAAAGCCCACAAACTATAGATATCTACCATGAACACCAGTTATGAATTGTGATAGTTTGTAACCGACTTAGGTAGTTAAATTGGTGAATTGCTGGACCTGCGGTGGATATACCGGCCATGTTGGATTGCCACGTGGCATTGG